GGAGTGACCACTCGGTGGATAAGGAATTGGCTGGATGGTCGTGCTCAAAGAGTTGCGGTCAACAGCTCGATGTCCAAGTGGAAACCAGTGATGAGTGGCATTCCTCAGGGGTCGGTATTGGGACTGGCGCTGTTTAACATCTTTGTCGGTGACATGGGCAGTGGGACTGAGTGCACCCTCAGCAAGTTTGCCGATGACACCAAGCTGTGTGGTGCGGTCGACACGCCGGAGGGGAGGGGATGTCATGTAGAGGGACCTGGACAAGCTTGAGAGGGGGCCTGTGCAAACCTCATAAAGTTCAACAATGTCAAGCGCAAGGTCCTGTGCGTGGGTCGGGGGAATCCCAAGCACAAATACAGCTGGGCAGAGAATGGATTGAGAGCAGCCCTGAGGAGAAGGACTTGGGGGTGTTGATTGATGAGAAGGTCAATATGACCTGGCATAGTGCGCTTGCCTACAAGAAAGCTGGAGAGGGACTTTTTACAAGGGCATGTAGTGATAGGACAAGTGATAATGGCTTTAAACTGAGAGCGAGTAGATTTAGGTTAGATGTAAGGAAGAAATTCTTCACTATGAGGGTGGTGAGGCACTGGAACAGGTTGCCCAGAGAAGTTGTGGATGCCCCATCCCTGGAAGTGCTCAAGGCCAGTTTGATGGGGCTTTGAGCAACCTGGTCTAGGGGAAGGTGTCCCTGCTCATGGCAGGGGGGTTGGAACTAGATGATCTTTAAGGTCCCTTCCAACCCAAACCATTCTATGATTCTATGATATTCATAAAATGGACAATATCTAACCAATTAACTCCCTTCTTTTTATAAAACTTTAGTGCATAAATAAATAACGCACTAGCAGATTACAAATCCCTTTTAAATACCAGCACAAACTTAGAGTCTAAAAGCAGAGCACTTTCATTATTTACTGAATTAGGTTTAATGTAAGTCACGCTGCAGGCCTAAAGGATGTGCCAGTGTTCTAGTAACTGTCAGATGTATAGCAACCTCACAGACTGTTCTAAAATATTTGCATTGGGTAGCATCTCCATCACTTCAGAAACTAAGGTTTCTGCTCAAACTTAAAAAAACAAGCAAGTAAAAAGAAAATGAAGATGCAGAATGAGAGAACAAACAGGTACACTTGATTTACTTGCAAAATCATGTCTTAAAGAAAGCCTTAAATAAAGTCTTACATAAGGACGGAATCCCCTAGAAAGAAGGCATGCAAGTAATATTAAAAGAAATTCACATGTTTTGGAAGCTTAGAAGTGAAAGGAAGAAAGACAACGTGAAGGTGAACGACTTCTGGATTTTGCCGAATTTGAGGGTGGAAGCAAGGAAAGTAGTTTTTCATTCAACAGCACCAGAGACAAAGGCATTTTTAAAGCCATATTTCACATTACTATAGGGAGACACCGCATGGAACTGGAAAGCCATAAAGCAAACTATTATGATAGTTTGCTATAATGATATAGTAAGTCAGAGTTGGGGATGGGTTTTTAATGTGGGGTATCAGCACTAGAATGGTGGAAATGATTTTTTCACGTGCTGCTAAAATATATGTAGGAAATACCTTTTCAACTGACCAAAACCGTTACAGACATACTGAAACAACATTAACTTTATATTGTTATCATTAAATACTATAAACCCACTGAGTACTTTTTGGAGAGGAGTTTTCAGTAAGTTCAACTAATTCAGGAGTTAGAGAAATACAGTGCAAATACAAAAGGACTATTTGAACACAGTGGCTGTACATAGAAAACAGGATTCAGAAGTGAGGGCACATGGAAAACCAAAATATACCTCACTGCTTTTAAATGCTACTTGAGATGATACCATTCTGCTCAAAAAATAAGCTCAATGTTTTTCAATTCATAACTAGAAGATAATGTAAAATGAAAGCAGTTCTTTGTATATAATCTATGATATAATATAGAAAGGCATACATTATCTTTCCCTTAAAGACAGTAAACTGCTTAAGTAAATCTTTGGCTACATAGCATATCAAAGAACTATCATATTTTTAAGGTAAAGCCAAAATATTGGATTAAACTCCTAGGTAGTCTAGAACTAAGAATTATACCTGGGAAAATAAAACCTAATACTGATTTCAAATTAATCTCAAAGGTAATATTCTCTAGTGCTATTAGTCAAATACCACAGCTATGAATTTTATTTATTTAAGTGTAGGAGGAAAATTCAAAGTGACATCCTGACTTGCTGTTCATTTAAATAAATGCCACATGTTCAGTTGCTCAATGAAACCAACATAGATATAGAAGACTCAAAGGAAATGACAGCACATTTTAAACAAAGACTTATTTTTTTAAAATGTTTTACAATTACTACAAACTCTGCAATCAGATTTTTATATTCAACCTCATGGCCTTGGGGTCCAATTTTAAGGGCTGATTCTACTGATTCTACAATGAAGTAATTGATAGCCAGTTCTACTGTGTGATATATAAGTACGGCTTTACTCAAAATGAAGTTTCTTTCTAAAAAAGATGTAGAATGTGTAAAAATTGTGTTTCTTTTCAAACTCTCAAAACTGCCTATATACTACTAGTAAGGCAAGGAAAGCAAGTAATAATATGTCACAATGATTAGTTACCATTTATCTTAAGTTCAAGATACCTTTTTGTACTTTAATGAGTTCCTTTCCAATTTCCAGAGTTACAAAAGCAGTACCATTAAGCACAATATCAGTTATCGTTTTCCATGCATTAGCAGAAAGTCGTTCAGAAGGGGAAATAAAGTTTCCAGCTGCGTTGTTTATCACAACCTGAAACACATGAAGGAAAACCTAAGAGTTAACAAAAAATAACTCTTCCTGAGAGAAAAGCAAAGAATTTACAAGGAACTTCTTAGTGTTTCCAGGTAGAAAAGTAAAAATATCCTCACCAAATGACGTTGGGCGGGGGAGGAGAAAGAGAGAGAGAGAGAGAGAGAGGGGGAGAGAGAGAGAGAGAGAGAGAGAGAATAATCCATCAGAAGTTTTAACATCTGCAGCACAGAAAATGAGCTGTATTTCCTAACTGCTATAGTTACTAGTCTAGTACTGAGGAACTGTAAGTGTAGAGGGTGACTTAAGTCGCTATTTTCCATAGTGTCTCAAGCGCACCCTAACAGAAAAGTTTGTCCCCATCAAGTTCCAAGGTCACATATCATATTTAACATAATGGATGCATGGGAATAAAAACAAAAGAAGTTCAGGTAACCTCATGACTAAAGTCTGGATTAGCTGACTTGCATAACAAGAAGTCTAATCAGTCGTAACAAAGAGAATATTATGATTTAGTGAACTGCAAGCAACTACTACAAAACTTTTTTCGAATAGACGTATATCTGTCACTTGTTGCCTTTCTACAAACAATAATTAGGCAGAGGATACTTTCAATATACCATCTGCTTAGCCCTTCAAGCTAGCAAGTTAGATTTATTTTTTTAAGGGGACTAAGCATCACGTAAGCAGTTTTTAAACCAAAACTTATGTGGCCAGATCTTGTGTATTTAATAATAATATAATGTGCTGAAGCAATAAAACGGTGTATTACTTATGGAATGGCACCTACATTCAGGTAGGTTTGCACGTAAAACAAAGTCTTTGTCCTGAAGAACTTCTGGGCTAAATTAAGACATTAGAATTTTCTATAACAAAACAGAGCACAGCACACATTGCATGAATATGAAACAAATAAAAGACAACAGCCATAAATTATACATATAGATGGCAAATACAATTTAAAGGCCTCCCTACAGTTTTAATAAAATCCAAACACCTCAAGATACAGAAGAGGGTTACTTGAATCACTGAATAAATACAGCGAAGACACAATAACAAAAATAGTGAACTAAGGACTGCATGATACGGTCTTTGAGGTATGTAGATATATATGACAGCCAAAACAATCCGTATGACAAAAGAATGATTGCTCTCTAATTGCGAGTAACAGTCTTGGGGACGGAATGAACAAAACAAAGCTAGAAGGAATATGATACTGCCATTAACTTCTCTTTTTGAGATCTCACCTCAGATGCACAGTGGCAGTGATACCCAGGCTTGCAGTATTCATAAACACGTGTCATGTCTGTCACTAAGAGAAAAACTAGACAAAAAGAACTGAATATTCAATTTGCTTTGCAGTCTCTCTTAAAAACACAGAATATGTGAAATTAAAGAGAAAGGAAATGCTTGTAAGAACAAGTCATGGGAAGCATTTATTCAGAAAAATACTGGTGTACTAAAAATGTAATATATAGGAAGAAGCCTCCTCCCTCTCTGCACGCACTTAAAACCTGGAAACTGTGATGTGCTTTGGCCAAAAACTGCAGTAACTAGTAGTCAAAATAATATCCAGAGTATCTTGTCTACAAATCAGGACAGTGAGCTGCCTTATTTTATAGCACTGTTATAGCATACAGCTGTGAGAAACAGTTTCTCTACTTCTTACCACATTTGGAATTCAGTAGGTTCTCTTCCATGTGTATAGGAAGCTATTGGTGAATGCAAAGTGTCTACAATACACATATGATAGTTTCAAATCTACAGTAAACAGTTTTAAATCTCACTTACTATCCTTTCATCAATGTTAACATCCTCGCCACACTTTCTATTAGCTAGCAGAATCTGAGTTGTTTCTCTCATAATCAAATCAGAATTTGGTGCCTCTCATTGCTCAGACTTCACCAGACCACCCTTCTCAAAGCAGTCTGATGTAGAGCTCTGTGTCTTGTGCCGAACTATTAAAAAACACATGCTTAGCTTGACTGAAGATTTTTTTCTTGATTTTATGAGAACTTAGTTTTCAAGTTGGATCCTCCTTTGTGTATTTTAATAAGCTAAGCAAGGACCAAAGATGTGTATGATTTCTTCCATTTCTAATTTGTGAGACATTCTGTTAATAAGCAACAGGTGTAATTTGGTACCAACACAGGTAAATCACCTTCTCAGGAGGATTTAAGGGCAATATTCTGTTCACTTAATTAATTCAAAGAATCCCATCATAATTGTCCCACTGTTTACAAAGAAAATGTTAGTCCTTAGAGTAAGTACAACAGCGTTTTCTCTATTTGGCCACTAAGTATTTTAAGAACCACAGGAATAGAGTAACCAGTCTAACTGTGAATGTTAGCTTTATCTTGAAGTACCACTTTTTGTCTGGTGTCTCTTTAGATTCCATTAACTTTCTATCATAGTCATTTTCTTCATACCTACTATGCAGAGTATTTTCAGTAATGAAGACTGAAGTTCTTTGCTTTCACTAGAACACTTACATCAGGATGTCCTGCCACTTGGATTGTTTCGGCAACAGCATTCTTAACAGAAACTGGATCTCTCACATCACACTGGATGGCGTGAACCTATATAATAATGGAAAGGCAGCTGTAAGACTTCAAAACTATATCACTCATAAACTAAAGAAGCCCACAGAAGCATATAAATGCATAAAAATCCTATAACCATTTAAAGTACAATTAACATATTCACAATTCTGTAAAAATTTACCTTATTCCCTGTTTTAGAAGAAATTTCTTCTGCTGCTCCTTTCAAAACATCGAGCTTCCTAGAAATAAGTATACAACATCACTAAATTTCAATTAAATGCAATTACAATTCAGATTAATAAAATCTGATGATTTTTTCTGAGCAAATATGAGCTAAAACTTAAAATACTTAAATGTGCGCGCACGTGTGTCTGGCTGATTTTCATGAAAATTGAGCTTTAAGATAAAAACTGTGTCTAGTCACTAACTTTGTGAAAGAAAACCTTAAATCTAAGTAATTTCTGGTTAGTGCTACTTCAAAGCAACTCAGAAGTGACTACAGTAAGAGACTATCTTAAGCTAATCAAACATGCTAAGCTAGGAAAAATATTTTAATTCTGAGTACATAATCGTAACAAACTTAGTTTTAGCTACTACTTTACCAGTACTTTAGAAGGGACATGCATATTCAGATTTAAAACTAAGTATCTAAACCACTGTTTGGATGAATGCCACAACACTTTTGTTTATTTTGATTAAAAATGACATTGTTTTTCTAGTCTTTACTGTAGTGCTACTTAAGAGAACTGTAGAAAGATCATCTTCATTAAGGGAAAATCAGGGCTGTTTTTAAAGTCATAAGAATTAAGAGGAATGGCTTTAATTCGTTATTGCAATTCAAATCTGTATCAAGAACACCTGCAATAATACATTCAAAATGTTCAATAATGGCAATTTCAATTTTTTGATCTCTTTTAGGCTTTAGTTGAATTTATGTCTAATATTCTGGGTTGTTTATTTTGCTGCCGCATTTCATGGAAATGCATTTAGTTTATTTCTTCCTACTGCTGGTTATACCGTTAGACATTTGCAGATGGATCTGCAAGTTTCTGGTATCCAGTTTATGAAGAAGAAAGCAAGATCCATTATGAAGAAGAAAACAGATACATTCAGCATTCACTACTAAATGAAAGCTCTAAAATGTCTTCATTAATATTTACCGGCTTGCTATAACACACTTGGCACCTAAACTGGACAAAGTTGTTGTCATCCCTTTGCCAATCCCGGTACCTCCACCAGTTATAAAGGCCACTTTTCCTTGAAAGGTATTTGGTGGCAACATCGCTTTTTGAAGAGGTGAAAAGAACACAGCTTGTGGTGCACTGCTGTCTTGTTGCAGCACATTTGGCCCACGGCTGAAAAACTGAAAGAAAAAAAGAGGAAAGTTAGTTTTTTCTCATTTCTGTATTCAGGACTGTTACACAGTATTAGATTTTCTTATAGCAGTGAAGGTAACAACCATAACTGCCTTATTATAAACTCAATGTAAGAATCATTAGATTGTATTATACTAAAACACACGAACCTTCACAGAAATGCTAATACTAGACCAGGAAAGCACCTGAGCTATTTTTAGACATTCCATTCCAACTAGAGAACTATTGAAAAAAAATACTTTAATCATGATTTTTATTATTTTGAAAGTTAGTTATTCTTATATCTGTCGCTTTTGCTGAAGTGTCTGGAAAACCATTACTAACTACTTGCAGACTCCCAGCAGGATTTCGGTTTCAGATTCATATGTGTACTGTACTTTATGCATAAGGAGTTTAGCCCTAACAAATCCATGTGATTTTGAGATTACATGTGTACCTATTTACAAACTCAAAAGGTTCAGTAGTAGCTTCAAGGCTTTGATCCTTTACTACTGTAGTCAATGAAACATTCTTCTTTACTGGAGAATGGGGCAGAATCAAACTCCATGAGACCTGTCCCAATCGTTACTGGAGCTGCTAAGCAAACCAATGCCATCTCCCAGACAAAATTGTGCAAGTTTGGTTATTAGCATTGTACTCTGTCCCAGTAGAAACACCATTTACAGCAAAGTAGCCCTCGATGAACTGGTCCTTGCAAAAAGACACGTGGTTCGTACGTGTTTAAAAACATACATGAAAAGAGAAGAAAATTCAGTATTACATCTAGCGATCCATGTTAATAAGAAAACATCCCATTAATGCAATGAGAAATTTGTGATATCACCAAGAAAGTCAAGGCAAAAATAGCCAAGAGGATATTTCTAGCATCCTAAAACACTAAATTAGCTCAAACCCTAAACTAAATACTGAATTAAATACTTTGGGACAGCAGCATTACAGTAATAATTCAGAAATTCCCAAATTATTTAGAATACAAAAGTTACCTTAACCTGAAGCTGCAAACACTTCTAAGTATGACTGGACTATTTTTATTTTTTCTCTAATACTAATTTGTACTTGAGCATTTAATGTGTTTATCTGAATACAAAAAATTCTACTATAATTTTAGGAAAGAAGACTGAAAGGTTACTCTAGTATGGTGGTGTTAATAAAAACATGCAATTGTTCAATAGGTTGACATGAAGAAGAAAGGTTATTTTAAAATAGTAAAAATATTACAACTTATTGTTCTATTCACTAATTCACATTTTCAACACTAAAATTAAGAGACAACATTTTTAGTGGTAGCTGTACATACCACAGCTATAATGCACAGGGATGGGGGTTTCACAGAGCTTAAAGCTGGCCTGAGAAAGTGTGCATGTGAATCTTTCTGTGTGATAATACATTTGCATATGATTAAGACAGAGAGAAAACAGAGAGAATAATCATAGAATTACACTGCCAATTTAATGGAGCTCATGTTCCAAAGAAACAATGAAACAAAAACTAAGAGTGAAGAAGAGTTGTGGACACTATGTAGAACAAAATTAAGAAAGTAAAGCTCAAACTATAGCTAGAATTATCACAAAAGTAAAGCAGTGCAGCCAGACCTACAGCATTTTTATTAAATGTGTACTTAGGGATTCTTTCTGGAACTTGGACAACTCAGCTATGTGCAACAGCTTCTCGCAAATTAAAAATAAACCAAAAGTGGTTCTAAGGAACACAAGCAGACCAAATGGAAAATCCAAAGAATGTCACAACATTTTTCTGAAATAATAAAATTCTACAGATAGATCAGATCTGCCACAAAATGTCTGTAAAACACTGATTTTTTTTTTTTTTTTTTTTATTCTCCCACCGAAAATAAAATTTGCATATTTTCATGAAGTACCAGAATATTATCAAGCCTCCAGGAAAGCGGAGCATGAAGATTCTCTTTCGGGTCTTTCTTAGTAGTCCCCTACTCATCTGTCTTCAGGTATGCAGGGAGAGAGAAGGGCTCCCTCTGGAGAACTGGAGAACTTCAGCTCATGGCAGACACTGCAGATCAAGACGGCATTTGGATTCCCTCTTCCTCCAGTATAAGGAGATAACCAGAGGTAATCCCCACGCAGTACTGAGCCTCCCTGATCAGGTGCTCTGCTAGTGACGGACACAGCCCACTCTTCTTGCTCACCACGACAGAAACCCTGCAAGCAGCCTTCCTCCTGCTCCAGGAAGGAAGATGAGGGAGCAGGCCACAGCAGGGGCAGGTAGGAAGACTGCACTAGGACTAATAAAGTACTGGAACGCAAGCAGCCAGTGAAGTTGGTATCATTCAGCAATCTTCTCATGAGACTGCTATCGTCTCATTACTAGCTTGCACAAGGGGCTTCCGTAACAGGATTCACTCAATTTAATCATTACACCATTTAAGGTCAAGGTTTTAAATTAAACCTCAGGTGTAAAGAGAGATACAAAAAAGCCAGGAAACAGCATTAAAAAATCCCCCCAAAACATGAACAAACGAAAAGACAACCCTCACCCAGGGGGTGGAAGTGAATCATGAAGCTACTGCAGAAGGCCCTCCCGGAGGCACACAAGCAGTCACTGGTAAGCAGCACTGTGCCTGGACAGAACTCGCTAGAAATGGCCTCCAGCAATACCCACACAAATCAGCCGTGTCACTGCTTGGACGGCAACATTCGAACCACTTTACCTAAATCGTACTGCATAACTCTGCTCTTGGGATCAAAGGGCGATACCAATGCCCCCACAGCCTGTACTGAAATGGGAGACAGACGGGAACTGCCCTGCGGCGGGGCAGGGCGCCATGTCCACGGGGGCAGAGGCCGCACCTCTGCGAAGGCTC